TTGGCAGTGGTTCAAGGCTTTCTTGGCACAGAATCTTACTAGCTAAGTAGCAGCAAACTTTTCTCTTCCAGATACTGTAAAACACTCAGAGATTTAAAATGCCTGTATTGCGCTGTGTTGTGGTTCAACCCCAGCCGGCAGCTAAGCACCACGTAGCCGCTCGCTCGCTCTCCCCAGTTGCAATGGGGGAGAGAATCAGAACAGTAAAAGTGAGAAAACTTGTGGGTTGAGGTAAAGACAGTTTAGTAAGTAAAGCAAAAGCCACACGCGCAAGCAAAGCAGAACAAGGAGCTCCTTCCCTGCTTCCCGTGGGTGGGCAGGTGTTCAGCCATCCCCGGGAAAGCAGGGCTCCGTCACGCCCAGCGGTGACTTGGGAAGATGAACGCCGAGAGTCCGAGCGTCCTCCTTCTTCCCCCAGCTTTGTACGCCGAGCAGGATGTCGTATGGCGCGGAATACCCCTGTGGTCAGTGGGGTCCCCTCCCGACTCCTCGTGCCCCCAGCCTGCTCGCTGCCGGGGGGTGTGAGGAGCGGAACAGCCCTCGACTGCCCGGCCACAACCACAACCGCAGTGCGCTGCCACCACCGTTCCCACCCCACTGCACCGGCTGCTAGCCAGAAGGTCAACCCCATCCCAACTGAGACCACAACACTGATATACTTTGTTTTGCAGTTGAGACCCAAGTCTACTTGGAACTTCACGTATAGCGTCAGTTTATACTTTTTTTAAATTATTTTTTTTTTTTTAGCTAATCTTAATTACAGCAGTGTATCCTCTTGACTGCAGGCTTCAGTGAGCATTCCCATCAAGAAAAGCTTGTGATCATCAGGGACAGGGCTGTGTTTATACATGTGTGTAACAGGCACTATTTATGTCTTGGTAATTCTGCTGCTGACTGCTTAATTGGATGAATCATGGCAGTGGTTCTTAAGACGTGATGTTACTTTGCCTTTATGTACACGAAAATAAAAAAAATCAAGCAATGATTCTAGTCTGTCAGTGTTACTGTTAGGGATTTTCAAGCTGTTGACAAGAGTCACGACAGCTCTCCGCTTCCTGGTTTAAAGCTTCTTATAATAACTCTCTGTCTGCCAAAGTCCTACGATGGCTCATACGGTCCCCTGTTACGGAGAGGAAAGGGCGCTTCCAAGGTGTGCGGTGGGACTGCCTTGAACAAACTCTTGGTTTTGGAACCAGTTGTCTTGGGCTCAAAGCAGGCAGGATGCTGACCCGGGGTGTGTGGGACGTGCATCTCTGCCACCAGCCACGTGCCGTGATCTCCGGAAAGCGGGCGAGAACCCCCAGTGTGCCGCTGCCATTCTGAAGAGGAAAACTCAGCTCAGTAGGCTGCAGTTTGTACTCCGGAGGTGAGCAAAAACCTCTCTGAATGGCAAGAATCCCTCCTTGTCTCCCACACTTTTGTTCTCCCACCCATCTTGATGCAAAATACCTTCCTAAAAAAGATTTTTTTGGGGGTAAATTTAGATTGATTGTGGTTCCCTTCACAGCCTGCTGTCACATAGTCTTGAACTATCAGTAGCTGCAAATACCGAAAGGGAACATTACAAAAGCCAGACTCGTGACTCTCAAGACTAGCTGTAACTTTTTTTAGCTTGCTGCTATAAAAAGCCTGGAGAAGTTCTCGCAGCCTATCATTCGTATCCTTGCGTGTGGTCTCGATATTTGTGCCTCCTTCTCTGGTGGTGGGAGAGCCATCGTCGCCGGCTTGATGGCAGCACAGCAAGCGGCTGCCTGCCCTGGTTAACGCGTTAGGCAGAAACGCTTCTACCTGCGCGTCAGCCTGTGCTTTGTTCAGCGCTAAACCCTCAACCAACACCTGGAAGAACAGGCAAATAACTACAGGCCAGAGCAACCACCTGCGTAATTGTCAGCTGTGAACATTCCGTGAAAAAAAAAAAAAACAACAAAAAAACCCCAACAAAAAACAACCACTGTGTTTCTTCTCTTCAGAAGACCCTGAAGTTACTTTTACTGTGATCAGTGATGAACGCTTCGAACAAGATAATTATACAGCCCCAAGTTGTATTATGTGCCCTGCAGGGAAAAAAAAAAAAACACACCATGTATCTCTGCCACCTACTCAGTGAAAAATGCTCAGAGAACATGAGTTTAAATTCCAGCTTCTGCAAAATCCAACAGTATTAGGTAAAAATCTTGCTCACCTCGTTTTTTAACGATTTATAGTGTCTACAAAATCAGCACTTGTAGCAGCTCTGCTATAGCACTGGAAAAAAGTGTAAATTCGTGGGGGTTGAGACAACCCCGTAATTTGTACCGTGGTGGAGCTCAGCTTTAGAATGCGAAGTGCTGCGGAACGGCACCGGGGCATCACTGGGCTGCGGAGCAGAGGGTTGTTCGGGGGTTTCGCTGCCTGGGAAGGTGTGTGTTCGGCTGCTACTGCTGTACCAGGCAAAAAATATATGTCCCCCCACTGTAATTTGGTTTAGTATGTTGGCTAATGCTGAAGGCAGAATGCAATGGGATCTAATGAATCTCGAGGTAAAGCTTTTTGCTGTTTCAGATGTGAAGGATTTTACGTGCTTCTTACATATCCTTTTATACAAACATGAGATAATGGCTCACTTCTGGGAATTTTATTTATTTATTTGAGTCATGCATATTCATCTCATTCTCTGTACTTGCGAAGAATTGCTGAAATGGATTTCTACTCTACTTTTGAGGTTCTCTCAAGATTGTATCATGAAGTACAGTGGGTAATTACATTAATTCAGCCTCGCCTAACCTTAGAGTTTAACACACACACACAGATGTATCCTTCTCTCTCCACAGTACTTCTGTTTGATACTTTTTATATTAAAAAAAAAAGTATTTTTAAATTCATAGATGTAAAACCCTCGAGAACTGTTTTGATGCTGCACAAATGCAGCTTTGCAAGGCAAAATACATCCCTAATCCTGCAGCCCAGTTGAATATGGTCCTGGCATTCTAGAATTTAGCTTTCCTTCACTCCCAGTTAATTGGCTTTCTACTGATTTAACCAAATAGCTCACAGTTGAATAACTTTTAAATTTGGTCTCCTCAGTGGGGAGAGGGGTCAACTGGAGTTTGGTTGCGGTGTGGGGCGGTAAATACTGAGATAACTCCTTTTTGCAGTGAAGTCACTCAAACAATAGCGACGTTCCAAATACATATTCATGTGCTACCTGAATTTATAATAAGGCCCTCAAGCTATTGTAATCATAGGAATCGGTGCTTAGATGGAGCAACACTCGTTTGTGCCATACTGCCGTGGGAAAGGGCGGGTGGGTGGGAAATGTGCGGCAATGCGTCTGTCCTTTTGTCTTTTCCAGGGTTAGTTTTTGCTGTTTCTCAGCACGCTGAGAACCGCAGCATCCAGACTACTCGGTGGGGAGGCAGATGCAGCAAACCGTACGAACTGCTGCTTCACCGGCAGCCAAGTACATGAGCAAAAAATGGCAAAAATGCCTAGAAAGAGCTAGAGAAAGACAGTTTGGGAGGCTGCCCTCAACTCCGAATGTCTCGCTATGGCTGCAGTAACGGACTTTAAGTCTACAGTGAAGGCAGAGTCCCCTGTGATGGACAGAACATACAGCAAGACCAAAGTACGGATTCAGAGTAGCTCAGAAACTGCTGCACATTATTGGGATTTTGGGGTTGCTGTTTTCTTGCTGCTTGTAGGAATGTGACAAATACAGACCCGACCTGAAAGCAGGCGTGAGGCTGGGGGCCTTTCCCATGGCGTTTGGCGCTCAAGAGCCTGGCCACACGCTAAGTGCAGCTGTGGTGGCTGTTCTTGGTCTTTTGCAAGAGACGAGTGATTTTTGGGACTTTTTACTTGCTAGAGAAACTGCTAACATACACCGATTCTGCCTGCAGGAGCAACATGATTAATGGCTGAAGTGGTGTTCCCTCCTGGCTGCATCAATGCGGTTTCAGCCGTCCCGCTGTGCAGCTCTGCCTTCTCCCAGGAGCCACCTGGAACTCGTGGCCTCGAGGAACCTGCCTTTCTGTAGAGCAAAAAGTGCAAGAGATTGGAGATACGGATTGTTGGAGGAGGATGATCGTTATCTGAGTCCTCTTGAATGTTCTTCTCTGGGCAATGGACGGTACTGGGCTTTCTGAAAACAAACGTACTGTAGAAATTCAGGTTTCTATTGCAATTGCACTGTGACCACCTTTTTTGGCCTCCCTGCTAAAGAACTCTTATTAGCTTCTGTTGGGAAATTATACTGGTATGTTTCTTTTGCCCTGCTCCCAGAGCTTTACTCCATATTTCCAGATTGTTTTTCTTGGGGTTTTTTTTGGTAACAAAACACTCTCCACAATGTCTGATTTTTAAGCATTCTGCAGCAAACTGCCTCTAACTTTTATTCAGAGAAGATGAGAAATAGAGCTTCTTAACAATGCATCTGCTAATAATTAACTTGCGTTTTGTGACCTGTACCCAATTTACTAGCTGCTTTTAATGATCCAGGAACTTATTATACTAGGTCCAAATGACGCGTCAGTAGATATTCTGACATCAGTTTTCATAACGCTGTCACTGCGCACACCTTGCGTGCAGCTGGAGGAGTCTGCTAGACCTGATCTCAATACTTACACCAATCTGAAACCGATGCTGCTTATGGCAGGACTGGGGCCACCACACTCAGTAACTGAGTCCTTGTTTTCTTCAAGTCCTTTAAATAATACGGGTGCTTCTGTATGAAATCTGCTTGTAAATTTTTAAGTCAGTCCTTACTTTTAACTTTTGTTCTATGGTGAAGTCTTCTGTTGTAAAATTGGTGTGAAAATGACTGTTGGTGTTACACAGCTGTTATTGTTGTGGCTGCACAATGTCCTAAGTAGCAGTAACATCCTTCAGGGATAGGGGAGAAGAAAAACAGGTCTGTCTAAAGGCTACTTCTTTCTTTAACGTGATGCTGCTTCTACTGGAGAGAGCACCTGCAAGAGTGGACAAGGCTTGCTCTTGGTGTTCAGTCTTCCAGGAGGTCACTTTCACTGTATCTTTTTCATGTCTTTCTGAATTTTCTTTTTTTCAAGTTTCAGCTTTGTGTTCTGTATTTGTTTGAGCAGCTCCAGAGATCCGTGAACGGATTGAAATCCTGGGAGAGGAATAGGAACAGTTAGTTAAATAGTGGTTGCTTTCAATACATTAAAAGATTGTTCTTTTTCTTTGCAAAGGTTTCTGACCCGCGTTCAATACCAAGCACAGTAAAGCCACTCTATTTCATCACTTTACTGAATACCATAGACGTGCATTAGCAGTGTCGGTTGCAAACTGCTTGCTGTAGGAAAGGTGTCTTCCAATACATTCCGCAATACCACACATGGTTATGCACAGCCGTAAACTGCAACTGACATCAGATTTGTGCTGCAGAGTGAAGAAAATACTGTCCGTCTTTAACACAGAGGATATCGTTAGCCTTAGAGCACACTGTGCTTCCACTGAGCGTTGGAGTTTTTTGTTTGTTTTGGGTGTTTTAAGTCCGCAGACCTTATTTTGAGTCTAAGACTCAGTGTTCCCATGGGACAGGGACGCCGTGGCCCTGCAGTGCCTGGTGCCACGGGTCTGCCAGCGTTGTGGCAACCGTACGCGGGAGTCACAGTCACGCTTCCTCTGCGACGGACGCGGTTTCCCTCTGTGCTCCCGCGGGAAGGGCACGCAGCCTCGCCGGCTGAGTGTGCGCGCACGCGTGTAGGTGTACAAAAAGAAAGATGGGAGAGTGTAGACACGCATGCATTTTTTCCAAAAAACAGAGCTACACAGCACCTGACGCACCTTGGTTGAACCACTATAGGGTGAAATATTGTCAATAAAGACCGGAAGAGTAAAATTGTGACCTGCTGTTACCCAGCTGTTTCCAGATTGCACTAACTTTCAAATTACAACACGGTAGTTCATCACATTTGTCCAGCATGTCACATAGGTGTTAACTTATTAGCAAGCAAGCAGCCTAACAGCAGATTAAAAATAATTCTCTTCCTCTTTTTTTTTTTTTTTTTGTTAAAGTGCTTATTGTAGCATGGCAGCTGATGACATGTTTTTCTTTTGGGACTGGTTGTTTAATATGGATTAATTTTGCCACTGCTACCCCCCAGACAGTGCTCAACCAAGTCACTGCATTGTGCTTAGAATTTTATAAATTCCAGATGCGTCTCTGATTTCCAAGGTGCCAATCCGTGCTGCAGCACCAGCAGCTGCTGAGGCAGTCCAGAGGCTGCCTCTGCGCCCGTCTTGCTGCTCCGCACCTCCTCAGCAGCCTCTTTTCCTCCTTTTTGGGGGGTCAGCCCCTGCCATGGGGAAGAGCATTTGGTGGGCTTGAGTTTGAACACAAGCATGGCCAAAATTTGGTATAAGCAGATCACCTCTATCGTTAATTTTGCAGGCAGGGATGCAAAGGTAAGAACGCTCTCTTTTTAGCACCAGAATCTTTTATTCTGAAATTTCTTAGCCACAGCTTTCCTTGCGACGCTGCCTTGTGCTCGCTCAGATGCTCTTGCAGACAGCCAAGCGCTCCCGTGCCGACCCGCACAAAGCCCTCCCCTAATTTAGAGCCTGGTTTGCTCCAGCCTTGGAGCAGGGCATGTAGGTGGGCTGCAGTTAATGAAGGAATGGGAGCTGCAGTAAAGCGCTGGGGTCCTCAGGCACAGACAGCTTGCGAGATGAGAACCAGACGCTTGAGCTTCAAGTGAGAACGTGTACGATGTGAAGCCCTCGCCTAACGATTTTCAGCCATCTGTTCCCTTGGAGAGAGGGCTGAGTGATTTTTTTGGATAACCTGATGTGTCCACTGTGTTTCCCTTATCGGCTGCGAGGGGAGGGTGTTACAACGGGGCAGGTCTGAGTGACACAGGATAACGATACAGTGGGCAAAACCTTCCCTGAGAAGGCCACGTCACCTTAGAGCCAGGTGAAAGCCTTCCTAATTGCTGCTGAAAGTGAAGCAGCCGGAGTCAGCTCAGACCGGTAAAGTAGTTCGTGCTCTGTGAGTTGCATTAATGTGACTGTCCCCAAAAGAAGCAGCCGCCATGAATTCAGCAACGTTATCTAACTGCTTCCCTGTTCACTTGCATAATGTCTGGTCCCTGTCCGGTAGCTGTAACTCATCCAGATGCCGCCTCCTCCTCCAGCTGCTGTTGGGTGAGAACGGGGAGTAAAGGATCAAAACTATATACAACCATCAAACATGATCTCAGATGCAGGATCTGTGCAAGAGGAAATGACTAAATGACTTGCACCTCCCAAAGATGGTTAATGACCCTGAGAACAAAACTAATAGACGTGCTAAAAAATCTGGAAAACGAGTTGTTAGAATTGCCTTTTAAATGCTCTTACCTTGAGACTCAGGAAGAGAGAGCAGCCCCTGTGCACATGTTATGCCGGCTGTTTGCAAAGACAGGCAGGCTAACCCACACACCTCTGTGAACAGGGTGTGGGAGAGAAATAGTCTTTTAATGTCTTCCTGTTTTTACTGGAAAGGATTTTCAGGGGCAGCAAGTTATTGTAGAAATGTATTTTTAAAATAAATTGCATAAAGCCCCATCCTCACCTGATCTGTATTCACTTTGGATTTCCTCAATCTCCTTCCAGATCTGTCTTTCAAATCTGGTGATTCTTGCATGTAGGTTTTTTTCATCGCTTTTCATCTGGTTCAACTGCTTTTCATATTTCTGTGGTTTATCCATTTGTTCTAGCTTTAGCGACAGAAGTAGGAGCTTTTCTTCTACTCTTTTTTCTGCTCTTTCCTTTAAATACATAACACAGGTTTATAGTAAGACTCTTTACATATGCCCACGTTAACCTGCCTCCTGCCAACCCTGCGTTCCATCAGTCTTGCTTCCTAATCCCACGGGTGACAGCAGTGAATAAATGCAGGTGACTTCTGGTACCCCAGAGGACGTGTCAATCCTTTCTTCCCCAACCAACCAAACAGACTGGGAAAGAGGGCTGGAGCAGGACAAAGATGCTTTTAACCTCTGATGATTTGCTGTCGCACTTTGCAACAACAGACTGGGAACTCAGAAAACCCATTTCAGGTCGTTTCCATCTGCCTGTCTCAAGCACAAGCTTTCCGACCTCAGGGGTGCATCTCTGTGGTGTAAACCCATCTCAGCTGCCGGCATGAGTAAGGAGGCTGAGCCCCGTCAGAGCTGTCTAACCAAGAGAGAGCAAGAAGTCCTCTCCCTCCTGTGAGCTCAGCACAGCCCTTGGAGGCAATTCCCCCTCCTCAGAGGAGGGCTCAGACCTAAGCTGCACAGCTGCCCACCCCTTCCTTGGTCTTCAAGTTGCACCGAGTCCTATGGTCAACTCCAAATCCGGCCAATGTGACCAAAATCCTCAGACCTTCTTTATCCCTTGCAGCCCAGGGGAGTCCTATGGGCCCAAGGCAATGGCTCTGCCTCCCAAGGGAGGTGTTTTCCAGCCTGGCAGAGCTCTCCACTGACATGACATCCAGAGGACCACCAGCTGCAAGTCTCCATGCATGTGTATGCATACACAGAAAAACAGATGCGCTCCTCATTCAACCTATTTAAGGCTGAATTTTCCCCATACCTAGAAGGGGATCCCTATTTTCCCCACCCCTGGAGGCGTTCAAGGCCAGGTTGGACGGGGCTTGGAGCAACCTGGGCTGGGGGGAGGTGGCCCTGCCCAGGGCAGGGATAAGAACTGGATGGTCTTTAAGGTCCCTTCCAACCCAAACCATTCTATGATTCTGTGATTCTACAACAGTGGCTTTGAAAGCTTTAACTCCTGTTAACACTGTATTTTTTGGCACAGCAATCTCCCTTAGGGGAGTGTAATCACAGATATCGGTGTGTTTTCTGCAAAATAATCACAAAAACTATTAGCAGAGGAAGGGAGTTCAAACAGAAGCTTTGAGATAGCAGCTGACACCTCAGAAATGTTTTTAATGTCTTCCTGGCTGCACTAAGCGTTGGTTGCATTGAATACAGGAGTCCATCATCAGGCAGAATAAATGGAGATTAAAGTTTGGGAGTGTTTCATTTATGAGCAACTTCTGACTCTGGTCTTTGATCAGCAGCCTTCACCCTGATGCTAAGACATGGTGATCGTGTTTCGACCGCTTTTGCACCCTGAAGCGGAGTGAACTGCACACAGCAAAGGAGGAAAAGCCTTAAAAGCTGTGAAGGAATGAATTAAAAGGCATTGGCCCTGGGCCAGGTGCCAACTGCTGCTGTGGAACCAAAATGTGCCGTGTTTTACTGTGCCAGCCGCAGGATGGTGAGGGTTTGTCTGTATTTAAAACCAGGCAGAATTTGCAGAGATGATCCCTTCCTATTCCGAGCTTTCAGTGAACAACGCGGTGTGGTGCTCCGTGGTGGCACCGATGTTCGCTTTGGGACTGGAAAACACCTTTGTTGGGTGCACTGAGGCTACACAGATGTGGAGTGGTAACATAATCAAGGAAGACTTTGTTTCCTGGGATGCTCAGGGTGTTGTGGGATCTCCATCCTTGGAGATACGTAAAAATCACCAGGAGGAGGCTCAAGCCCTGACTTTTCTGTTGGCCCCGCTGTTTGAGCGAGGGGTTGAACCTTATGACTTCCAGATATCCCTTCCGAAATATGATTATGTGATTTTTTCGTAACTCATCATTTTGCTGGCCGTGTCCCGAAGCACCTGGTTTTGTGTTAGATCTCAGCTTTTGTGCACGTGATTCGTTACCGGCTGGGATGAAGGTGATGGGAGCGGTGCATCTCGCTCCCTCTCCCGGCAGGGCTGGAGACCACCCCCATGCCCTGAGCAGCCGTGCTGGGAAGTCTTACCAGTCTCTCCTTCACTGAGTTAAGCAGCTGATGCCTCTGCTGTGCTTGATCCGCTTCAGAGCGTGTCAACTGCACTTCCGTCCGCTTCCGATGAGTCTGTATCTGATCCCTGAAGTCACTTAGAATACTTGTCAACCTAAAATTAAAATTATTTTTTTTAGTAACAAGACTAAGGTTTAGTCAGTGTTATGGGGGAGTCTTGAGTCACTTGAGTAAATTGTTTAAATTACTCTAAATCTCTTCAATAGCTTCCTAACAAGCCCTAAGCTCAATTATTTTATTAATCCTTGCCTTGCAGGTTGTACCTACATGCCAAAATGTGCTTTCTGCAGTGTGGTCTACTTTAGGAAACTATTTGAGGGCTGAAAAATGTTAATTTCCCGGTTGAATTAACTCTGTTTGAAGTGGATGAAGAAACTATGCTATCCCATTGAACACCAGCCGCACTGCCGGGCATCGGGGAGAGCAGCAGAATCACTTCTGGTCTGAAAATGAACCTCATAACGATAAAAAAGGTTTATAACTGAAAGATTACAAACAAAACGAGAATGCACAGTTGCCTTTGAGGCAGAAGTTAGATAACAATATGAAAGCCCACCCAAAGGGAGGAGAGCAGGCAGCAGCTGGAGGAGACAGGGAACCGTAGGCAAGAGTGGAGAACGAACACTGCTCGGATCATATCTGCAAAATGTCCAGATTAAGGGAACATTAAGGGTATGGTTTAGATTCTGCTTTTTTTTATGCTGCAACATGTAATTTACAACATGAGCCATGACCAAACATGAAATTAGGTCCAAGTTGTAGTCGTATATATAAATTTTCATGCTCATGCATATGAGCTGGCTGTAGGAGTGTCACAAAAGATTGCAATGTAATTGCATTAATCTCTAACACATGCTTGCGTGCAAACAAGGAGCGCTTGAGATTTGTCCAGGAATCAGTTAGGATACAAACCCACAAGTAAAGGGCAGGATTTTATACCTAGACTTAATGCTTATGGCACTTCTAATATTGAATATCACTTTCCAAAAGGGTGTTGGAATGAAAGTGTTTTTTGCACCGGGTGATTGATGACAGCTTTGTATCAGTCTAATGAAGTGATAATTACCATCAGCAGTCACTGTAAATGTGGTAAAAAAAAATTAATGTTAACAAAATCTCTCTATGTGATATGTTATTGCAGTGCGCTATGAACTGAACAGTGTCTTTTCAAGATCTTCTACACAAACAGTCTGTTAGGTCAGTTTATCACTGTTACTCATTTTAGTAGTTCTAAGATTTTACTTTTTTAAGAATAAAAACTTGAAGTATTGAGTTTATTGTTTTCAGTCCTACCATGCGCATGTGAACGTGCACGCAGAGTTTGCTGCCTGCAGCACTGATCTTTGTCCCTGAGGAAACGCAATGGCACTGTGATGCTACGCTGATGGCACAGACCGGTCTCCAACCTGAGTGTGGGCAGAGGAGGTACAACGAGCTTTTCTCAGACCCAAGGCAGTGACCCGTCTGACTGTGATCACAGGCGTCACCATCCGAACCGCCTTCTGGCAAGGTCGGGTGGGGATGGGGACAGCGCTCTATCGGCCCCACCGCTGCCGCCCTAAGGCTGTTGCTCCAAGCGCAGGATTGTCATCTCCGAGGATGAGGATGGGGGAACAGGAGGGTCATCACGAGAGGTACAGCTCTGCTCCATTGCCGCGGTGGGCAATTACAGCACTGCTGCCTCCTCTGATAGACCTTTAATGCGGTTACTTTCATACATATTTCTGTATATATATAATCAGGAGATTTTAATCCATCAGGCATAAAAAAAGAGGTCTCATGCCATTGCTTGTGTTAAGATTACTGCACAAATTTGGGGAATATCATTCTAACGGGCCAAGATGACTTGGCCATGAACGACAGAATTGATGGTCAGCTTTGTTCCAAGGTTCAACCCCAAACTTTGTGTAGTTGGCAATGGGCATTTGACTTTGCTCCAGTTTCTCCAAAGTTGGAAAAGGAGGGAGAAGGAAATATTTAAACCTAAAACCAAATTACGTGCAACTGTATTTAGGCAACTTAGAAAAGATTTGTCAATCAAGCAAAGTCTGCTTTGGGGAGAATGGGAAGAACTACAGAAATAATTAACACAGCATTTAATAAAGTTGTTTAACAAATACTGAACATTATTTTCACGAACCATGGCTTTTATGGCTTTTATGGATTTACCAGTGAGGTTTACGGCTTGCATGGTTCAGACCAAATGATCACAACAGTCTTGTCCTGGTTTGAGGTAAAACAGAACCAACTTTGTTCAGTAACTTCACTCCTTAGCTGGGCCTCTCTAACAACTGAAATTAACAGCACCTTGTGCAGACGGTGTTCTCTCTCTCGGGGTGATCAGACCCACGTTCATAGCTGATGCCCAGGCACGGTGTGCAGAGAGGACCTCACTCACACTCATTGCCATAACCCCCCCGGGCAACCAGCTTTGGGATGTGCCCCGTCGGAGGGTGGGAAGTGGAAAAGCGCAGTGGGGTCCCACCTGCGGGGAGGAGCGGACAGGACAGGGGACCCCAAACTGACCAACGGGGTATTCCATCCCATCTGCCTCGTGCTCAGTATAAAGGCTGAGGGACCAAAGGGTCATCTCTCTCTCTCTCTCTTCCTGCAATGGCCGACGTCTGAGGAGGACTCTGTTCGTCTGCTGCGATCCCCATCCTGAATGCAGATTCGGAATCCCGTTCCCGTCCGTCACTGAGTCAGCCTGGGACTGCCCCAGTGCCAGCCGGTGTCGTGGTTGTCATCTCGGGAGCTTGGTACAGCTTTGTATATACCTCATTATTTCTTTTTTTAATTTTATTATTAATATTTCATTAAAGCAGTTTAGTTCCTTCTAAACTTGTCTCTTTTTCCTCCTCTGCCCCTCTCTCTGAAGAGGGGTAGAGGAGAGCATCTGTCGGTCCCATCTGGGGTCCCCCAGGTCCCCAGTAGCCGATTTGGCCTAAACCACGACAGGTCTCTTTGGGATGCAAATCCCGTGAAGCACAGCCGGAGTGTGGCTCTGCTGAGGAGGATGGCGGTGGCTGGGGACTGTCTCTGGAGGGACGTGCTTGACAGTTACAAGATCATGATTAATAATACAATTACTATTATTAAGATGAATGATTTATTTCAGAATATTAATGATTTCTTGTTAATAATAAAATAGTACCATGTTTTATTTTATTTTAAGCTTCCTTTGATTAGTGTCCCTCCTGCACGGAGCTTACAAAAGCATATCTAGCAGGAGCATTTGCCGCAGTCTTTGGTCCAGCAATCCCTGAAATATTAATCAGGGGATACTTGGGGGTATTTAATAAGGCAAAACTCCAGTAGTGACACAGTAAATTTTCACATGTGAAAACAGACCTATTGGCAATGGAATTGACTCTGTGCCATTGGATGGAGCTATTCCCACCTAACCGACCCGCGAGATCAGCATCCGCTCCCCAGACTGTGAAGGGCCACATTTCTGAGCAAGGCACAACTCCCACGAAATTCTGAAATGTGTTTAAAATTCATCCAATTTTCAGTAACAGTATCAGTTTGTGCTTTTACAATACAGCTGCCAGACTGCAGCCAAAATGACCGGGTCCCAGACAAGCGCATGACAACTAAAGAGGTAACTCTGGGCTTTAAACCTGATTCAAAGATGCCAAGTTTTACAGGGAAGCCCCAGTCTGCTCCAGAAGTTAAATTTTATTTCAGGCCTATAAAAAGAATATATAAATCTGGTAGACTTTTAAAGGACCAATATAGAAGGAGACAGGCATTCCCCAAAGGGCATGCTATTTTAATTAAATTTTATATTAACTGGAATAAAATCTCCACTTTTAGTAAATAAGTATTTTGGATTTCGTGTTAACTACAGAATGCCAGCACATCTCAGTATCTTAAAAACCATCTCTTTTCAAGCTTCCTCTTTCTGATGAAAATTCAAGTAAGGCCTGATTAGCTTTTGAAAAACTCAACATTTACTTCAATTCAGTTTTCCAATTTCTTTCCTTTCTAGCATTGTTCCATTTTTCCTTCCCTTATTTTAATTTAATTTCTTGCCCCATTCATCTCCACCATTCATTGCTCTCTGTCTCCCCCCTCCTCCTCCCCTTTTCCCAATTTTAATTCACTGCCCACTTCAGCTGTTATTTCCCCATTCACCCCTATTCCTTTCCCAGTTCCCTTGACGTGAACTTTCTTCTGTTTGAAGTTCTAGCCTATTTTTACTTCTGAAAACTATTCAGATAAAATCTAAATTAAAATAAATCTTTATTCAAATACTTCACCATTTTAAGGCGGGGAACTACTGCCTTTGAAATACCATTATTGCAGAATTATTATAATTAGATTTTAAATTATTTGTGCTGGTTCCGCTATTCAGTGCTGTGCTGGTTTGCATTGTTCTCAACATGGCTGCCACACGCTTTTGTTCATTGCATCCTTGCCTGGAGCTCCCTCCTCTCTCAATCTCACCCGAAAAATACTTCTGCAGCTAGAATCAGAAAAAATACACCGCGTGAGTAAGAAACAAATAAATCACAAGCCCGTGGGCATGTGGGGGTGCGCGGCTGCTTCAGCCTTGTGCCCCCCTCTTCGCCCACAGCATCCCTGTCCAGGGCGGCTGCCCAGGGCCTGGGCAGAGGGTGCAAGTGCATAACGAAAATCACTTCTTCTGCACATTAGGCAAGTCACAAATTAGCCCCAATTATAATGGTAAATAGCATTTCTGTAGTTGGTGCCTTTCTTTTAAGTATGGGAAGTTAATTGGTTTCATACCTTTCTTCTTACAGGGTGGCATTTAGCGCCTCGTTTTAACAATTAGCGTGCAAGACAATATACTTTCATTATGTATTTTCATTATTTTATGGCATAGATCTTCATTAACCTTCTCTTAGTGTTTTGAATGGATGTTAATTAACCGGTTTGCTTTGCTGTTTCATGGCAACCTGTTCATCATACTAAAGCATTCAGAGTGAATTATCATAATGAAAACCCTCCATCACCTACTTGAAATCCAGAAGTTGCAATTGATGTTGTTGATCTCCCTGGACTGTCTTTAAATTCGAGCTTTGATCAGAGCTGGAAGTCTCTATCTTGCCTAATAGCTGCATTACCTAATGAGAATTCAACAGAGAACACCTTTATGAGCCAGACTATGAGCACTTACATTTAAATATGTATTATGATTGCAAGCATGGAAAAAAAACAGCTGACATCAAGGTACAGCGACACAAAGCCAGATTAAATTTTTCTCACAAGCAATTTCAGTCAGTAAAGACTGAAGACCTGAGCTCAGAGCCACCAAGGCCGTAAGACCTGCTGAAGTCAAAGTCTTTGCGGGTGCAGGATTCGCTATTAGGCCCGCGGGGAAGCAACACTTGCTTTATTTGACCAAGGCACTGGGCACCACTCAAATGTCCCCAGTGATGGCAGGAACCAAGGGGTAAATCCTTGAGTTCCGCGCTCTTTGGGCTAAAGGGTGTCCCAAGTACCTGATGCTCTCCCACGCTTCTTTGGTTGGAGATGCCCCTTTCACAGGATCATTCCTTGCTGTGGTTAGGGCACGAGAGACTGCTTCAGCAACCTGACCTGTGGGCCCTCAGCTGGAATGCAGAGAACAAGGTGGACTGGTGAGGTGAAGCCGAGTACCCCATGTCCTGTGGGGATGGACACGCATGTGATCCCTCTTTGGTGGTGGTGGCCAGACCAGACCAGGCAGTATGGGCAGGAAAAGCTAGAAATGTCCCATCTGAGAGTTGGTATTTCAGGTCTCGCAGGGTCTGGGAAGCCAGTGTCCCGAGTCCTGAGTGCTGGTCCATCATTTACAAACCTCTGTCCTTGCACATCACAATTAGTATGAAAGTGTGATACCAAGTGCTCCTGATGCATCAGAGATGCAGTGAGATGGAGTGGCTTGGCAACACTGTGGATGCTCCAACAACTGCATCCGCTATGTCAAGAGAAGCTGGGTGTCCGTGTGTGTCTGGAAGATGGAACTAGAGTGACTCAGGAGACTGGAAGCCACCAGAAACCCATTTCTTGCATGACCTCATCCACCAGGAGTTTTCGTTGTGTGACCTGGGTTACGTTACCTGCTGCTGCAAGTAGGCACTTGGTCTTGAAGGGCATTCTGATGTGAAGGATGAGGGATCCAGCCTTCCTACCTCCAGCTAATAAATTTAAGGGAATGTGAAATCCCAGTAGTTTTCTGCAAAAAATTTACACCAAACAAGTACAAAAAATCATTGGCATGGAGATGCCACGGCCTGTTGGGTGGCCATAGCACGTCAGTGTCAAAAAAGTGCCACTGAAGACTCATGATGTTGGCTCAGTACCGTCTTCCTTTACAGCAACAGATGACTCCTTTTCAGAAATCCTTTCCTTTCTTCTTTCCTACAACCACATGAGAATATTTTCTTCCCTTTTCATCTGAGGAGGTTTCTTCTGCATCCTGCCCAATGCTTACTGTGATTTATTTCTAGATGATTTTGTGAACTGTTTCATGTGACTGACACACACACCTGCTCCATTCCCCATTTCCAGTGAAAAAGAATATTTTTCATAGGTATTAAAGGAGACATATGTCCGAATAGTGTCTTTTAGCAGAATTTCAGGTAAGATACCTTTAAGTTCTCTCATGAGTAATTTTTCCTTGGAGAAGAGGACCTTGGGTAGGCAAGGTACATGATGATGGGCACTGTGCCTTGTGCAGCACAAGATGCAGTCAAAATACAGTAAAGAGATTATATTTGACAGCAGAGTGCTTGAGAAATTGCAAGTCCCACATCTGCCCAATCCTGGTGGGCATGGGCAATGCCTAGTTTGGAGCAGAAGCAGGGAGCCATCAAGCTGCACGTTTAGAAAGCCGAATTTTTCAGTACAGCTGCATTCTTGTAAAATATTACTGCTAACGATCCTGATCCTGCTAGAGGCTCCAAAACTGCTACGGAGCACAGCGAACCTCTCGCAAGGAAAGGTCAGCTATAGGGGATGATAGGCAGTAACAGTTCTTATCCACTGTTGACTGACCCACTCCATGAAGAAAAAAACCCACTCTCACACAAAACACCATTTTCCAAAACTTTTCCCGCGTTACAGTTTCAAAAGCCTGTGAAATATTGCCAAAATTACTGTGGAATTAGATACATCCTATTAGATGCCTCCCTGCCACCACCTTAAAAAAAAAGAAAACCAGTCGATTTAGACAGCCTTTTTAAGCTCCAAAATGCCTGCAAATGAAATTTCCAGATGCACTTGAATATAAATCATACTGAGAAAAAGTTATGGGTCATTTATAATCTGAGGATCCCCAAACCCTAAAATATTTTTATTATCTGTTATTGCCTTGCATCTATTATAAATGCCACTGCCAGATGGAGATCAGTGACAGTGGTGTCCCGCAGGGGTCCGTACTGGGACCAGAACTGTTCACTATCTTCATCAACGACACAGAGAGTGGGATTGAGGACACCCTTAGCAAGTTTGTGGATAAAACCAAGTTGTACAGAGAGGTTGACGTGCCTGAGGGATGGGATTCCATCCAGAAGGACACAGACAGGCTCAAGAAGTGGGCCTGTGTGAACATCATGAAGTCCCACAAGGCCAAGCGCAGGGTCCTGCACATGGGTCAGGGCAATCCCAAGCACAAATCCCGGCTGGGTGAAGAATGGATTGAGGACAGCCCTGCTGAGAAGGACTTGGAGGTACTTGGGGGGAAAGGTTGTCCATGAGCCGGCACTGTGCGCTGGCAGCCCAGCGAGCCCCCGGCACCCC